TATTTTTCCTATATTTTGTCAAAAAAGTGGAAAAATTTTACGAGACTTGACTTTTTCCTGAGGGGGAGTACAGGCAGGGTTGCCAGATCATCCGAATTTTTCGGAAATTTCCGAATTTTCTAAGTTTTTCAGACTGCTTTCCGACTTTCCGAATTCATCCGAATTCTTGAGATTTTTCCGAATTTTTTTGAATCGCAGTATTTTTTAAAAATTTCTTTTTGCATTACAATTTTCGATAGAACTTTTGATAGATTTCATATTGCGCCATCTTTACTATCCTGTAATCATTAGTAATTGATTTTATTCTGACAGACAAGAAGGGAAGGGAGAGAAGATGCAATATGATAAGCATTTTTTCAAATTTCATCTAAGATTTCTCAAAATAGCTTCAATCAATGTTTGGTTTTCGAATAAGTCATATGAATGACTAGTATCTCTAGAAAGCGTAATCTAAATAACAATAAGGATATTGTTTTACTTTTTAATGGTTATACTTTAGAAAGATTGTTGAATATTGGTGCAAGAGCAAATGAATGCGTTCAATTTGATCACTTATGTTCATATTTTTTAAATATTGACCCAAAGACAGTACCGAGTTTGAAACTAATTGTTACCTATGTATTTTCTATTCCATGTAGCAGTTCTTTTCTTGAATCAATATTCAGTCACATGACTAACTTATGATCTGATTATCGAAATTGAATGGATATCGAATTGATGAAATCTGAGTTATTAATCAGAAATAATTCCGATATTCCTTGTACAAATGTTTATGACTTTCGTTTACTCCAGAGGAACTATTGAAAAAAATAGCCTAAAATGAAAAGTTTGTTCGAAAAACGTCTTAGTAAATGAACTTTAGTTTCTTTTTCAATAAATGTTTTGAATTGTAGATATACATACATGTATAGACAGTTTATTTTGAGTTCTTTTTTCGTGTATTAACTGTCTCTTCTTGAAAATGATATTTTCTAATAATACTACATTTAATATATTTGTTTTAATGTTGATGAAATATATTTACAGAGAGGATAACCAAACTGCGTTCGCAGTTTTTTTAAAAAATCTAAATTGGGGTGAAAAAAATTTTGAAACCACTACTTTCCGAATTTTTTTCCGAATGAGTCAGATATTTTTTCCGAAATTTTCCGAATTCAGGCAAATGAATTCCGATTTGTAAGATTTTGATCTGGCATCCCTGAGTACAGGGATCTTCGCGGCGCTACCCGCTTCCCCCCCCCCCCGGTCATCAGTTTTTACGAGAAAACCGGGTCATGTGAATAGCTATTTCTGGCGAGTAAAGCACATACATTTGAGGTGCGGTTCGACGTACAATACCTAAATTGTGGTCAATTTTTTACTTTTTTTTAGTGAAAACAATCGCATAATTTAGAAAACGAAATCCTATATAGGAATTTCTATAATTTCGAAAATATTTAATTGGAAGCCAGTTTATAACAGCTTCATTAAAACGATATTTGAGCAGAGAAGTTAAAAAACGCCAAAACAAATGAACAGAAACGATCTATAAAAAATCCTATATTTTTGTCATTTTTTATCGAAAATCCTATATTTTAGACAAACTTGATCCTCTAAGGATTCCTATATTTTAAAAAAATCGCAATCGGAGGCCAGTTTTATTTACAAAAAAATTTTTCTTGTTGATCTTAGGTGGACAATATATTCCATTAGTTAAATGTTGAACGCATTATTAAACATATTCTTAACTTGGTTATTACTGAAGAAAGAACATTTCATCAATGTTTTTTTATCTTCAGATAGAAGAAATTGAAAGGAATTCTTCATTCAAATATAGATACATAGCAGATAGAGTTAATAGCATGCTCAATGAATGTTATACAATAAATGATATTCGAAAAATATTTTTCAATCATCGTTTATGTACTCGTTAAAATTATTATCAGCTTAGATACTTTTCAAGTCTTTATAGAGATCTCATATATCTTCTTCAAGATTTCAGATTCTTTAACAATCAATTTAGTTGATTTTATTCTTCTTTATCTATATCAATGATTTCTTAAAAGTCAGTTTTTTTTCGTTTTTAAAAAGCAATACATGTATGTGAATTTTTACATCTTTATTTCATTTAAGTATTAGTTCAAAACTATGCATATATATCGAAGTGAACTAGTTCTCATGATTTCTTTGCGTGAATGATATCACTTTATAAAAGTTCTTAACAGTATTATGTGACTCGGAAATGTAGCTATGAATTTTTTTCTCATTTATCCAGTGAAATGCTATGTTTATCTTTTCCATTAATAAAATTTTCCTTCAAATTCAATCTATTCTATTTTGTTTAACATATGTTGATGCTTATCTAAGAAGAGATACGATTTTTAAAATGATGTTTGTCATACAGTGAAAAAAAAACCAATTAGATGAATCACTTGAATATATCTATAAAAATATTTAAGAGTCATTTAATTTATCTTGAATCGACACAAAATATTATACGAAAATGTGATAAATCTACAATGCACCTATTATTTCGTACATTTGAGTACTAGAAAATAAACATATAAGATTACAGTCAAAACATTAACACCTGGTTAATACTTCTATTTTCAAATTCTTTTTGTTTATCAGCACTATGTATCAAGTTACAAAACGAACTATATATTTCGGATGATTTGTAAAGAAACACAAAAATTTATATTAAAATAGCATTTTTATATTCATTGAAAAAAAAGTATCTGTAAGCTGCTTTCTTATTAATGGATATATCATAAAGAAAATATCAAGCGTTGAAATGACGTTCTTACTAGAATTAATTTCGATCAATAGGTTTTTCTTCTTGCAAATCAAAAAATTGCCCAAATATTAATATTGAATATATAATGAAAAGTCAACAAAAATTGATCGATAAAAAAGATTTGGTTAAAAATAGTTCAATTATTCCTACGCATAAAACATAATCAGGTGTAGGTGTGGGTGAAGGAAGGTCCCCAACTAAACCCACACCCTTAAAAAACAGCTATCATAAAAGCATATCTTGTTAATCTCACATATATAACAGTCGATCCAATATCTTCATTTCAGGATAGAAGTGACTCAAAAGACTTGCCTTTGTATAAAGTTTCAGGTTGAAATTCAAAAATCAATTCTCCTAATGTTTCTGAGAAGACCATTTAAACACTATCAATAAGCGCTTATAGTCCGAACTCTTATCTTGATATTCGAAACTTGTTTGGATCTACACGACTTCAAAAGCTATTAATCAGTTGGGATACTTCTCTCGTCAAATATATGATCTTGTCGAACTTGCAAATTCTATCTATGATTCTCAGCAATACACGACACGGCAAACTTATAAAGAAACTTAAACTTATTATTTATAATATTCTTTACTTTTCTAATACAATATAAAAATTAAATTTACCTTCAATGTTCGATCATTTACTTTATATTTAATAATAAATACATTGTAGGTTTCTATGCTATGAAAAATAAGAAATTGTTTTTTATCTTTAAAATAACAACATACTTTAATCTTTGTAAACGTCTATCAATCCAAAAAGTTCTTTGAGTGATAATATCAATTGTTAAACCCAATAGTCGAGCTATATCAGTACCATTAATTTTAAGAAAATTATTTCCATTTAAATTCATTCTTTCCATCTGAATAAAATAAATAGCTAATTAATGGATCAATAGCAATACAATTTGGTTGTGATAAATATTTTGAATTGTTATACCATAGCAACCATCTAATCCACTAATACAAATATCAAGTGTATCCAATAATTGATATAATTTTCGTTCAATCTGATCAATAGCTAATGCACGTAAAAAAAAAGGTGTTCCATTGAAATTCATTTGATGAATTTTATCAATATATAATTTTTGATCTTTTCAATCACATGTTGTACCTGATAATTCCATAAAATCACTTAAAACTGTTAATTCATTTTTTTCATCCGGACCAATAGCACGAACATAATATTTATTTGTGCAATATATATGTGAAACAATGGTTCCTAAATCAATAGAAATCGATTTTGTTTTCTTAGCAGAAAAAAAGAACATAAGATTTAATTTTACCTGGTATGACACATACATTGACGTCTAAATAATAATTGAAATTAGAAGTTTCAATTTAAAAAAAAATTATGTTTTATTGAAAGATAGTATCTACGAACAGGATAAACCTGTGCTTTTTTGCATGGAGTAGTGGTAGTGAATGTCATACAGATAAGATAGACCTTAGAGAATGACTTCAACGATTTCAATAAGATGTAAAAGAAAACAAATGAAAACTTGAAAACTACAATCGTATTACTCTCAAATCTGTATGAATCAAAGTTATGCATTTTATAAGTATACTATTACGTGTACGAACAATAACAGTGATACTACAGCATATTATGATGGCTATGGATTGATCGATGTTTATCATCTACATATTTTGTTAGGCATTTTATCCCATTTTACGTGAAAGTTCCTAATTCTAATGCAATCATTAAAGGATGCTACATATCGACGGAAATAAACATGTGCAAGTGGACTCTCTTGAGTTTTCAATTGAGATATATTAATCTTAATCCGACGGACGAATTTCAATTGGATTCAACTTGTCAATATCTACTGACTGATTTAAATCTCACTCATTCTTTTTTATTTACATCCACATGAGATAACCAGCCGAACTGATATTCGATAGTTGAGCTCTTGATAAGGTTAGGAAAATTCTAAAAGGTTTTGTCTCCATAGGCTTTGCATATATACCGAAAAGTCGAAAACCAGAATTCTAAGCTAAGACTTTGCTGATATATAGGTCCAATATTTCATGGAATATCCTGACATTTTTAGTCGAAACGAGTGTTCTTTTGTTGAGGTGTTGAAATTTCAAAAAATAATCGCTTGACACAGGCATCATGCAAATATCAAGTTAACTTGAAAATTGAATATCTCGGCAAAGTAAAACATTTTGTGATTTCAGATACGTACGTAAAAGCTGGATCGAAAATTTAATAAAACAATCCTAACTCGGCTTCAAAGATCTGTTGAGAACGAACCCGTTTAGAATTTCTCTAGTCTTACTAAGGTATTCTTATAGATACCATGAAAGCTCAAATAGCAGATATCATTTCGATTGGTTTTCTTCGTAAGACATCGCATGCATTAGTTCTTATTCCACTAATGGAATTGGTATCAGTACAGATTTCAAACCGATCAATGGCCGGTCAATCGCCGATAGACTGATCACATCTCTGTCCTATTCTACTCAATCCATTTTTGTTCCACCAAGAAAAACTTCTCTCATGATAAAGTATTGAAAATATTGTTTTTAAATCGAAAAATTCTTGATATATAAATATCTCATCCCAACAATTTTTCTGGTTTGATGTTAATTTATAACCCGTTCGACATTTATATCGAAAAGAAGTTAATGAATTAACACAACCCCATGTTCATCACCACTTAAAATTATCAAGATTTTTTTTTGAAATTCTTACCACAACTAGGTGGTTCACCACTTCCATCAGTACAATATCTTACACCATTACAAACAACTTCATACAGTATCCATTTTTTATTTCGACATTGAAAGTATGTCCGATGGACATTGTTGTGCTTGACAGAATGATCGTTTTTCATCTTAATTATCATTACAATCATTACTAAAGAAAAAATAAAATATATTAACAATTATGTACTATTCATTGCATGCTGCTGATTTTATTACACATCGGCTGTTTTCACATTGATATTCTATATCGGTACAATTTTTCCATATTGTGATGCTTCGTCAAAATAAAAGATAAAATGAAGTAAAAATAAAATAATTTTTATCACATCAAGCAACTTCATATGATCCATCTCCTTAAATAGAAGATAAAATAAACAAATCACAATCATTGTCATGATCCGAATGTTAAATAAATAAATAAATTACATTATAGAATCATTTTAATAGAATAATAGTTACCACAAGCATAAAAATGTGGTACACTAAAGATAATTATCACATTCCCAAAGACCAGTTGGACATGCTCGATCTGATGAAAGAGAGTCAGCTGGTTCATCAGTACCATTGATACCAATCTCGTTGACCATCATATACCCAAGAATATGGTATATAGTGACGATTTCCTCATCGAAATTCCGCTAGGTTTAAAATAAATAAATTTATACAAATAAAATTTTCATATCAATTTGCTTATACTGCATTGAATACTATGACAAAAAGTCGGACTTTTATCATCACAATCATTATCATCATCTATCTACCAACGACAAAAGTCTTGAGAATCGTATTTTTGGTGCAACTTTTGATAGAGATAAGACAGAGTTGCGGTTTTCACCGTTGGAAAGAGGAGATGAAAACGCATGGAAGTGTACGTTACAGACTTTTTGACCTGGTTCTGCTAAGGTTTTTCAATTCAGCTTTCAGAAAAACAACGTATTCGATAGGAGACTACGGTGAATTTTTAATCATCTGGTGTGCATTGAAATCGCCAATTGAAGATCTATAAAACTGCACAACGCTCAGATGTTTAGCTTCAATCGTTCAGGAGTTATAGGTATTCTACTCGAAATGCTAAACCGATTTTCCAGCAATTCCTGCGACAAAAAAAATCAGTTTTGTCCTGTTTTCTTTTTGATAAAAGCGATTTTTCTGCTACCTTTTTTTAGAAAATTGATTTGAAAAGCGACAGAAAACATATTAGAAAAATCTGTCATATATGGTTCGTTGCGTCTTCATCTCCTCTTTCCAACGGTGAAAATCGCAACTCTCTGTCTTATCTCTATCAAAAGTTACACCAAAAATACGATTCTCAAGACTTTTGTCGTTGGTAGTATCATATCTCGTAGCGGAAGTCGATTAAAAATAGAAGAAACGTAATTACAATAAAATTCATTTTCGTCGTGTTTTACATACCACATAAATAAGTTCTATGAATAGAAATATTATTATGTGCACATTTCTTACTACTTATTCCGTTGTAAATACGAGATGAACAACCGACTTCATCATTTGCATTATCATCATTACAATCTATATTAAACAAAAATTTTCAAAAGGAAATTCATCTTCTTTTTTCTGAAATACGAGACTATGACAAATATTGTTGATATACGATCAGAGACCGTACATCAATAACTTCTCGTTATAATATATCATCCATTTCCTCATTATATATGTTAGCGTCCAATCTCGGATTCAGTCCAATCTCGGATTGATGCAATTCGGTTCACTAAAATATCAATTACTCTTGAGATAGATGTTGGATTCGAATTATTTTTTTGAAATGATGTTCGCACAATGCCGTTTTAAATATTGCAGGCGTTCAGGCAGAAGTCAAATTTAGACTGAAGAACTTAATAACAACTTTTCATAAAAGTTGTTGTTCTGTAGAAATTTATTCATAACTCCTAAACTTTAACTTAAATCTGTCCAACGACGATTGTGATAAACAATTTGACATTATGTGAACATAATTTCAAAAAGTAATTCAAATCCAACATCTATCTCAAGAGTAATTGATATTTTAGTGAACCGAATTGCATCAATCCGAGATTGGACGCTAGCATATATTTGAAGGATTAAGTAAAGTAATGGTAAAGAAATGCATTCTCAGATAGAC